AAATTTAATTTAATTTGAAAATTGAATTAAATTTTAGAAATTAAATTAAACTAAAAAACAAAAATTAATAAAGAGAAAAATTAAAATTATATTTAAATAGTTAATATTTAATAAAATAAAAATTAAATCAATATCGAGAAATGAAAAGAAAAATAAATTCAAATATAAAAGAAATGAAAATAAATAAAATAAAGTAAAAAGAAAGGAAATTAAATTAAAAGAAAATAAGTAAAACAAACAAAAATAAATTAAATTAAAAGAAAAGTTAATAAAAGAAATAAAAAGAAAATAATTGAAATAACAAAAATCTATAAATAGAAAATAAAGAAAAATAAAAATATAGGAAAATGAAAATAAATAAAAATGAAAATATAGGAAAATGAAAATAAAGAAAAATGAAAATAAAGAAAAATTAAAATAAAGAAAAATTAAAATAAATTAAAATGAAAAAATATAGAAATTATATAAGAAGAAAATAAAATAAATTAAAATAAAATAAAAAGAAATTAAATGTAAATAAAATAAAAATAAATAAATTCAAATAAAAGACTGAAAATAAAAACAGCAAAATAAAGAAAAATGGAAATAAAACAAAATTAAAATTAAATAAATGAAAATAAAAAGAAAATGTCAGGAGCCATTCCCGAGGAGATCCCCAAAATTCCCAAATAATTCCCAAAATTCCCAAATAATTCCCAAAATTCCCAAAGAATTCACAAATAATTCCCAAAATTCCCAAAAAATTCCCAAATAATTCCCCAAACATTCCCAAATAAATCCCAAATAATTTACAAATAATCCCCAAATAATTCCCAAAATTTCAAAAAAATTTCCAAAAATTCCCAAAAAATTCCCAAAAAATTCCCAAGTAATTCACAAACAATTCCCAAATAATTCCCAGATAATTCCCAAAATTCCCAAAAAATTCCCAAAAAATTCCCAAATAATTCGCAAATAATTAAAAAAATTCCCAAAAAATTCCCAAATAATTCCTAAAAAATTTCCAAAATTTGCAAATAATTCTCAAATAATTTCGAAAATTCAAAAAAAATTCCCAAAAAATCCCGAAATACTTCCCAAAAAATTCCCCAAAAATTCCCAAATAATTCGCAAATAATTCTCAAATAATTCCCAAAAAATTCCCCAAAAATTCCTAAATAATTCGCAAACAATTCCCAAATAATTCCCAAAATTCCCAAATAATTTGCAAATAATTCGCAAATTCCCAAATAATTCCTAAATATTTCTGAATAATTCCCAAATAATTCCAAAATATTTCTGAATAATTCTTAAATAATCCCGAAATAATTCCCAAAATTCCCAAATAATTCCCAAATAATTCCCAAATAATTCCCAAATACTTCCCAAATAATTCCCAAATAATTCCCAAAATTCCGAAATAATCCCAAATAATTCCCCAAATTCCCAAATAATTCCCAAAATCCCCAAATTATTCCCCAAATTCCCAAGTAATTCCCCAAATTCCCATTTTGGCTGTTGCTGCCCCCCCGTTTCTGATTTTTGGGAATTTTCCGATTTTGTCACTTTTTCACCCAAACTGAACCAAACCCGCCCGGACCCGCTGCCGCTTTTTACATTTTCCCTTTTTTTCCCCCTTTTTTTCACTTTTATTTCCATTTTATTCCCATTTTTTTCACTTTTATTCCCATTTTATTTCCATTTTTCTCCCATTTTATTTCCTTTTTATTCCCATTTTTTTCACTTTTATTTCCATTTTATTTCCATTTTCCCCCTTTTATTATTTCCCTTTTTTCCCTTTTATTTCCCTTTTTTCCCTTTTATTTCCTTTCTATTTCCCTTTTATTTCCCTTTTATTATTTCCCTTTTATTTCCATTTTATTTCCATTTTTTCACTTTTATTTCCATTTTTTTCCCATTTTTCCCTTTTATTATTTCCCTTTTATTCCCATTTTTTCACTTCTATTTCCATTTTATTTCCATTTTTCCCCTTTTATTATATCCATTTTATTTCCCTTTTTTTATTTCCCTTTTATTTCCCTTTTATTATTTCCATTTTGTTTCCATTTTTTTCTTTTATTATTCCCCTTTTATTTCCCTTTTTCCCTTTTATTCTTTCCCTTTTATTCCCCTTTTATTCCCCTTTTCCCTATTTTATTTCCATTTTATTTCCCCTTTTATTCCCATTTATTCCCCTTTTATTATTTCCATTTTATTTCTTTTTATTTCCCTTTTCCCATTTCCTTTTTATTCCCCTTCTATTTCCCTTTTATTGCCATTTTATTTCCCTTTTATTTCCATTTTATTCCCATTTTATTTCCCCCTTATATATTTCCATTTTTTTTCCCTTTAATTCCCATTTTTAACATTTATTCCCATTTCATTTTCCCCCCCTTTTTTCGCCTTCTATTTCCCTTTTATTCCCTTTATTTCCATTTTATTTCCCCTTTTCCCCCCTTTTATTTCCCTTTTATTTCCATTTTATTTCCCTTTTATTATTTCCATTTTATTATTTCCATTTTATTTCAATTTATTCCCCTTTTATTCCCCTTTTTTTCCACTTTTATTTCCATTTTATTCCCATTTTTTCACTTTTATTTCCATTATATTTCCCTTTTATTTCCCTTTTTTCTTTTTATTCCCGTTTTTTCCCTTTTATTTCCATTTTATTTCCATTTTATTTCCCTTTTTTCCCCTTTTATTTCCATTTTTCCCCTTTAATTATTTCCCTTTCATTTTCCTTTTATTCCCATTTAATTCCCATTTATTTTCCTTTTTCCCCCTTTTATTTCCTTTCTATTTCCCGTTTATTGCCTTTCTATTCCCATTTTTTCACTTTTATTTCCTTTTATTTCCCTTTTATTCCCATTTTTACCATTTATTCCCATTTCATTTTATTTCCTTTTTCCCCTTTAATTTCCCTTTTATTTCCTTTTTATTTCCCTTCTTTTCCCCTTTTATTTCCATTTTCTCCCCCTTTTATTCCCCTTTTATTTCCCCTTTATTTCCATTTTAAACATTTATTTCGCTTCTATTTCCCCTTTATTTCCATTTCCCCTCCTGTCATCTTATTTCCATTTAATTTCCATTTAATTTCCATTTAATTTCCATTTATTTCCCTTTTATTCCCCTTTTATTTCCCTTTTATTTCCCTTTTCCCCTTTTATTTTACAATTTCTTTATTTCCCCCATTATTTTATTTTTTTCTGAATTTCCCCCACACATTTTATATTTTACATTTTATATTTTATATTCTATATTTTATATTTTATATTCTATATTTTATATTTTACATTTTATATTTTATATTATTTTATATTTTTAAATTTTTATTTTCTATTTTATTTATTCCCCCTCCCCTTCCCCACCTTATTTTTTTTTAATTTCCCCCAGGTTATTTTGGTTTTTTTTTTCATCTTCCCCTCATTAGTTTGCCATTTTCCCCACACATTATTTTATATTTTATATTTTTTATTTCCCCCTTCCCTCCCCCACCTTATTTTGTACTTATTTTCCCCACATTATTTTATATTATTTTTATTTTCCCCCAAATTATTTTCTATTTTTTTAATTTTCCCCACATTATTTTATATTTTTTAATTTTTCACCAAATATTTTAATTTTTTAAAAATTTTTCACCCAAAAATTTAATGTTTTAAATTTTTTCACCCCATTAATTTCAATTTTTAAAAATTTTTAACCCAATAATTTAATTTTTTAAATTTCCCACCAATAATTTCAATTTTTAAAAATTTTCACCCAATAATTTCAAATTTTAAAAATTTGTAACCCAATATTTTAATTTTTTTAAATTTCCCCCAATCATTTAAATTTTTTTAAATTTTTCACCCCATTATTTTGATTTTATAAATTTTTCACCCCATTATTTTATATTATTGTTATTTTCCCCAAATTATTTAATTTTTTTATTTTCCCCCGCATTATTTTATATTTTTTAAATTTCCCCCTGCAATATTTTATTTTTTTTAATTTTTCACCCCAATAATTTTATTTTTTTAATTTTTCACCCAATATTTTAATTTTTAAAAAATTTTTCACCCAATAATTTAATTTTTTTTCATTTTTCACCCATTATTTTAATTTTTTTTAAAATTTCCCCTTCCCCCATTATTTTCTATTATTTTTATTTTTATTTGGTATTTTTCTTTCCCCCTTCCCTGCCGCACCTTTTTGTGTTTTATTTCTTTTCATTTTTCACCCCAATATTTTAATTTTTAAAAATTTTTAACCCAATAATTTGAATTTTTTTAATTTTTCACCCAATAATTAAAATTTTTTTTTAAATTTTCACCCCATTATTTAAATTTTTTTTCATTTTTCACCCAATAATTATAATTTTTAAAATTTTTCACTCAATAATTTATTTTTTTTTAAATTTCCCCCAATAATTTAAATTTTTTTAAATTTTCCACCCCAATAATTTATATATTTTTTAATTTTTCACTCCAATAATTTTAATTTTTTTAATTTTTCACCAAATAATTTTTTTATTTTTTATTTTTCACCCAATATTTTAATTTTTTTTGATTTCCCCCCAATAATTCCAATTGTTTTTTATTTTTCACCCAATATTTTATTTTTTTTTTTAATTTTCACCCAATATTTTTTTTTTTAATTTTCACCCAATAATTTAATTTTTTTTTAATTTTTCACCCAATAATTTAATTTTTTAAAAAATTTAACCCAATATTTTAATTTTTTTCAATTTTTCACCCAATAACTTAATTTTTTTAAATTATCCCCCAATAATTTAAATTTTTAAAAATTTTCCACCCCAATAATTTATATTTTTTAAATTTTTCACCCAGTAATTTTAATTTTTTTCCTAAATTTTCACCCCAGTATTTTAATTTTTTTTCATTTTTCACCTATTATTTCAAATTTTTTTTAAATTTCCCCTTTCCCCCATTTTTTTCTCCCATTATTTTATTTTTTATTTTCTATTTTTCTTTCCCCCTTCCCTCCCCGACCTTTTTGTGTTGTTTTTGTATTTTCCGCAGCGTTCCGGCACCGCCTCCAAGTGCGGCACCGCCAAAATTAACATTTCAACATTTCAACATTTCAACATTTCCGAATTTCCGAATTTCCGAATTTCCGAATTTCCGAATTTCCGAATTTCCGAATTTCCGAATTTCCGCCTCGGCCGACCCCAAAGTGCCGCTCCAAACGCCGAAAGCGCCAAAATCGACAAAAAAAATTAAAATAACACAAAGCGAAAAAAAGCAACAAAATATGAAAAAAAAGGGATAAAAAAGTGACAAAAAGTGATAAAAAAGTGACAAAAAAAGTGGCAAAAAAGTGACAAAAAAAGCGACCAAAAAGCGACAAAAAAAGTGACAAAAATTGCCAAAAAATCTTTGAAAAAAGGTCCAAAAATCGACAAAAAAAGTGACAAAAAAATCGCCAAAAAACTCCAAAAAAAGCTCCAAAAATTGAGAATAAAAGCGACAAAAATCTCAAAAAAAGTGCCAAAAATCTCCAAAGTGACAAAAATCGCCAAAAAATCTTCGAAAAAAGTGCCAAAAAAAATCGACAAAAATCTACAAAAAAGTGACAAAAATCTCCAAAAAATCTTTGAAAAAAGTGCCAAAAAAGCGCCAAAAATCTCCAAAAAAAGTGACAAAAAAAGCCAAAAAATTTTCAAAAAAGGCTCCAAAAATCGCCAAAGAAAGCGCCAAAAATCTCCAAAAAATGCGCTAAAAAAAGTGACAAAAATCTCCAAAAAAAGTGACAAAAATCGCCAAAAAAAGCGACAAAAAATCTCCAAAAAAAGCGACAAAAAACTCAAAAAAATCTTCAAAAAAAGCTCCAAAAATCTCCAAAAAAAGCGACAAAAAGTTCTAAAAAATCTTTGAAAAAATCGCCAAAAATCTCCAAACAAAGCGACAAAAATCTCCAAAAAAGTGCCAAAAAAATCGCCAAAAAGCGCCAAAAAAAGTGACAAAAAGTTCCAAAAAATCTCCAAAAAAACTCCAAAAAATCTTCGAAAAAAGCTCCAAAAATCGACAAAAAAAGCGACAAAAAAGCGAAAAAAAACTCCAAAAAAAGCTCCAAAAATCGAGAATAAAAGCGACAAAAATCTCCAAAAAAGTGCCAAAAAAAGCGACAAAAATCTCCAAAAAATGTGCCAAAAATCTCCAAAAAAAGCAACAAAAAATCTTCGAAAAAAGCGCCAAAAAAATCACCGAAAATCTCCAAAAAAAGTGATAAAAATCTCCAAAAAAAGCAACAAAAAATGCACCAAAAGAAGCGACAAAAATCTCCAAAAAAGCGACAAAAATCTCCAAAAAAAGCACCAAAAAATCTTCAAAAATCTCCAAAATATCTTCAAAAAAAGTCTCCAAAATCTCTGAAATCTCAAAAAAAAGCTCCAAAAAAAGCTCCAAAAAAGCTCAAAAAAAAGCGACAAAAATCTCAAAAAAATCTTCGAAAAAAGCACCAAAAAGAATCGCCAAAAAATCGCCAAAAATGCGCCAAAAATCTCCAAATAAATCTTCTAAAAAATCTTCGAAAAAAGCGCCAAAAAATCGCCAAAAATCTCCAAAAAATCGCCAAAAATCTCCAAAAGAAGCGACAAAAAAAGCTCCAAAAATCTCCAAAAAAAGCAACAAAAGTCTTTGAAAAAAGCGGCAAAAAAGCAACAAAAAATCTCTGAAAAATCTCCAAAATAATCTCCAAAGAAATCTCCGGAATCTCCAAAAATTTCCAAAAGCTCCAAAATTTCCGAAATGTCCAAAATTTCAAAAAGCTCCGAAAGCTCCGAAATCTCCAAAAAAATTCGCCAAAATATAAAAAAAAAAAAATCTCTAAAGTTTCCAAAATCTCCAAAATTTGTAAAAATCTCCGGAAGCGCCAAAGTCGCCAGAAAATGGGAATTTTGGGCAAAAAAATGGGATTTTTGTGTTAAAAAATGGGATTTTGGGCAAAAAAAAAGCGGAATTTTTGTGTTAAAAAATGGGATTATTGGCAAAAAAAAATTTGGGGTTTTGGCCAAAAAATGGGATTTTTGTGTGAAAAAATGGGATTTTTATGTGAAAAAAATGGGAATTTTGACAAAAAATGGGATTTTTGTGTAAAAATTGTGATTTTTTGTCAAAGAAAAAAAAAAGAATTTTTGGCCCAAAAAATGGGATTTTTTTAGCAATAAATGGGATTTTTGTGTGGAAAAATTGGGGTTTTGGCCCAAAAAATTGGGATTTTTGTGTGAAAAAATGGGATTTTTGTATAAAAAAAGAAATTTTTTCAGGAAAAAATGGAATTATAAAAAAAAAAAAAAAATTGAAATTTTTGCCCCTAAATTTGGAATTTTTTTCCTGAATAAAAAAGAAATTTTTTTTGCCAAAATCTTTGGAATTTTTACCCCCAAAATTCGTATTTTTTCCCCCAAAAAAGCAGAATTTTTTGCCGAAATCTTTGGAATTTTTGCCCCCAAAATTCGGATTTTTTTTCCCAAAAAAAGGAGAATTTTTTTCCAAAATATTTGGAATTTTTGCCCCCAAAATTCAAATTTTTTTCCCCCCAAAAAAGCAGAATTTTTTTTTGAAATCTGTGAAATTTTTGCCAAAAAAGCCCCGAAGGAATTTTTGCCCAAAAAAAGGAGAATTTTGCCCCAAAAAAGGGAATTTTGGTGGATTTTGGGCCGTTGCGTCGGTGCCGTGCGGGACTGTAAATAGCCACAGGAATAAACCCAATTACGCTTTCTACGCTCAGAGTCACGAATTCGGGGAAACGGGAAAATTTGGGGGAAATGGGGGAAAATGGGGAAAAAGGGGAAAAAAGGGAAAAAATTGGGAAAAAAAAATGAGAAAAATGGGGTAAAAATGAGAAAAAATGAGGGAAAAGTGAGAAAAAATGAGGAAAAAACGAAAAAAAAGAGATAAAAAAGGAGAAAAATTTGGGGTAAAAATGGAGAAAAAAATAAAGTAAAAAAAGGGGGAAAAATAAAGAAAAAATGGGGGAAAAATGAGTAAAATTGGGGTAAAAATGAGAAAAAATGGAGTAAAAAAGGAGAAAAATGGGGGAAAATGAGAAAAATTTGAGGGAAAATGGGGAAAAATGGGGGAAAGAAGGAGAAAAAATGGGGTAAAAATGGAGGAAAAAATAAAGTAAAAAAGGGGGAAATGGGGTAAAAAAGGAGGAAAAAATGAGAAAAAATGGGGAAAAATGAGAAAAAATGGGGGAAAAAAGGAGAAAAAATGGGGGGAAAAAGGGGGAAAAATTGGGATAAAAAGGAGAAAAAATGAGGAAAAAGGGGGGAAAAATGAGAAAAAATGGGGTAAAAATGGAGAAAAAAATAAAGTAAAAAAAGGGGGAAAATGGGGGAAAATTTGGGATAAAAATGGAGTAAAAATGGAGAAAAAAATAAAGTAAAAAAGGGGGAAAATGGGGTAAAAAGGGGAAAAATAAAGAAAAATGGGTGGAAAATGAGGAAAATTGGGGTAAAAATAAGGAGAAAAAATGGGGTGAAAAGGGGAAAAAATTGGGATAAAAAGGAGAAAAATAGAGAAAAAATAAAGTAAAAAAGGAGAAAAAAAGGGGTAAAAATAAAGAAAAAATGGGGGAAGAAAGGGGAAAAATTGGGATAAAAAGGAGAAAAAATAAGGGAGAAATTGGGAAAAAAATTGGTTTAAAAGGGGGAATGGGGAAAAATGAGGAAAAATGGGGTGAAAATGAGAAAAAAAGGGGAAAAAGGAGAAAAAATGGGGGAAAAAAGAAGCAAAAATGGGGAAAAAATGAGGAAAAATGGGGGAAAAGGGGGGAAATGGGGTAAAAAAAGAAAAAATGGGGTAAAAAGGAGAAAAAATAGGGTAAAAAAGGGGAAAATTTGGGATAAAAAGGAGAAAAAATAGAGAAAAAAATAAAGTAAAAAAGGAGAAAAAAAGGGGAAAAAAATAAAGAAAAAATGGGGGAAAAGGAGGAAAATGGGGGAAAAATGGGTGAAAAATAAAGTAAAAAAGGGGGAAAATGGGGTAAAAAAGGAGGAAAAAAGGGGAAAAATAAAGAAAAAATGGGGAAAAATGGGGGCAAAAAGGAGAAAAATCTGAGGGAAAATGGGAAAAATGAGAAAAAAATGGGGGAAAAAGGGGAAAATTTGGGTTAAAATTGGGGTAAAAATGGAGAAAAAATAAATTAAAAAACAGAAAAAATGGGGTAAAAAAGGAGAAAAAAAAAGGGGGAAAATAAAGAAAAATGGGGGGAAAATTTGGGAAAAAAGGAGAAAAAATGGGGGAAAATGGGGAAAAATGGGGGAAAATGAGGAAAAAATGGGGGGAAAAAGGAAAAAAATTGGGGGGAAATTGAGAAAAATGGCGGGAAAATAAAAAATGGTTTAAAAAGGGGAAAAAATGAGAAAAAAAATGGGAAAAATGCGGTAAAAAATCAGAAAAATTGGAGAAAAAATGGGGGGAAAATAGGGGAAAATGGGGTAAAAATGGAGAAAAAATTACAGTAAAAAAGGGGGGAAATGGGGTAAAAAAAGGAGGAAATAAAGGAGAAAAAAATGGGGGGAAAAGGAGAAAGATTTTGGATAAAAAGAGAAAAAATGGGGGGGAAAAGGAGAAAATTTGGGGGAAAAAATGAAGTAAAAAAGGGGGAAAATGGGGAAAAAAAGGAGAAAAATTTGGGGTAAAAATTGAGAAAAAATAAAGTAAAAAAGGGGGAAAATGGGGTAAAAAGGGAGGAAAAAATGAGAAAAAATGGGGGAAAATGGGGAAAAATGGGGAAAAAATGGGAAAAAATTGGGAAAAAAAGGTGGAAAAAATGGGGAAAAAAGGGGAAAATTTGGGAAAAAAAGGAGAAAAATTAAGGAAAAATGAGGAAAAAATGAGAAAAAATGGGGGGAAAATGGAGAAAAAATGGGGGAAAAATTGGTTTTAAAGGGGGAAAATTGGGGAAAATGGGAAAAAATGGGGTAAAAAATGGAGAAAAAAAGAGAAAAAATGGGGGGGAAATTAGGAAAAAATGGGGGGAAAAGGGAAAAATTTGGGGAAAAAAAGGAGAAAAAATGAGGAAAAAAGGAGAAAAAAATGGAGAAAAATGGGGGAAAATTGGAGAAAAAATAAAGTGAAAAAAGGGGAAATGGGGTAAAAAAGGAGGAAAAAATGAGAAAAAATGGGGGAAAATGAGAAAAATTTGGGTTAAAAAGGAGGAAAAATAGGGGGGAAAATGAGAAAAAATGGGGCAAAAAAGGAGAAAAATTGGGGGAAAATGAGGAAAAATGGGGGAA